GCAAACGCGTAAAAATAATTTAGGAGTAAAAATATTTGGAGAATGTAATCTAGAAAATGATGGAGCACTCGCTCAAAATATACACTTGTAAATGCCATTCTTGCCATTGCTGCTGTTTTTGCTTCAGCAGCAAAAAGCGTGAATGCGCATGCTGGAATGCGCAGTCGTTTCGTTACGCGTTTGCCGATTGATCAAGCCGATTGAATAAGCGCCCGACAATTTTTATTAATTAATAACTCATTACTAATTGCAAAATTTGCAAAACGTAAAAGATTTTTGGACTCGCTTTGGACTTGTCTCTATCTGCATGTGAAAATTATGTGGTTACTTCACCCCTTAGCGCCCTGTATATACAAGGTATCCGATAATAACTATATAACCTTTCAAGCTGAAGAACGCAAGTGGCGCGAGTTAGACGGAATAAAAAAGTCCTGTACGATTTTGCGATTTTGCAATAATTAACGAAAAAGTAGTAATCAGGAATCGCCAAAAAAGCGCGTATCTGCCCATACAGCGGAACTACACTGCTCATACAGCAGTGTACATACAGCAAGAGTTGTAAGTGTACGATCAGCGTTCACGATTGCTAGAAGCGCGACGAAAATGAATTTGAAAATGAATATTTGGAAATGTAATATATAAGCGAATGCTCTATCCACCATTCGTAAATCACGTGCCGGGCGGATGTGCGCTTATATATTTTAGGCAACTTTTAATTCGATTATCGATTTCTCGTTAACTATAGCGAAAATTGTAAAATAACACAAGATTTTTTTTGTTCGGTTTCGGTGCCTTACTACTTCGTTATACTATGAGAGATGACGTGATTATTATTGGATACTCTACACGTGTTTTTGTATATGATCGAAGCGTAATTATACCATATAATATAGTCTTAATTCTAATATTTGGTGATGCTGCTTTTCTGCCACAGGTCGGTAATGTTATATACCGACCGAAAAGGACGAAAATAAATCGATAAGAAGAAACGTAAACTTATATCTAAGATCTTACAGCTATCTTACGCTATTGTTATGAACATTTACTAACGAAACATTTGCTGTTTCTAATGCTAATGCTTAACGTATAAGTATCGTTTTAAAGACTAGAGATACCTCATTGAGATATAGATCCTTGACCTAACCAAAACTCACTGTTAAAATTATCACGTTCGCACTGAATTATTAATCCATTACGTACGTAATGGACACTACCGTTGTAGAATTGTCCGATACCTCATTGTTGTTCGCTCACGTTATTTCATAGATTTTCAGTCAGTAAGTAATCGAAGTAAGTGATCGATTTAACTTACTTAATCTATAACTTACTACCTATTAGACAGACTAGATAACGGATGCGTATAGATCATCTATAAGCTCAAACAATAGGATATACTCGCGCCTATAAAATAATAGATATCTAACAGAATCCTCTGATCATGACGACGATATGACTTATAATATATCTTCCTCTCTATGATGATATTTCATTTCAATAACACACTAGTTTACAAAAATTTTTTTCAATTATTTTGAACCAGACTTTGAATCAGATGCTTCATATAGATTTTTAGATGCTAAAAACAAGTCGCAAGTCGCAAATTCCTAAAATAATAAACTGCAATTATTTTGCAGTTCACCTGCAGTTAAACCTGCCGTGCTGGAAAAATTTGACTTGAAGCATCGTTTTCAGCATCCAAAAATCTGTAAAGAGCACCTTGTCTGGTTGTAAAAATAATTTTTTACTGTAAACTTTGTAATTCATAGAATTTGATAAAATTTATTTCGTCAGATTTAAAATGTCTTTAAGATGTAATTAAAAGTTGAATGTATAATAAAATAATTTTCAATTATAAATAATATGGGCAAAAAAAGATTTCCACACTATAATATAAATCAGATATTGATTAATCTCTATGTAAAGAATGACAAATATATTCTGGTTCACTAAGAAATTCTAATATATTTAAAGTAAATAAATATAACTTAAATTTTATTTATTGCCTGCACTTTATTTATTAACTGATAATAAACATTTAATGCAATTATTTTTCAATTATATCGCTTATTATTTTGCTTTTATTATCAAACAACCTGAAGCTTGTTTTAAAAGCTTGCTGCATGCGCTTTAAAGAGTATGCATGATCGTGAAGTTCAAATGTTCACATACATTTTGATATTAAAGACTATCAAACGACTATTAAAGATCAAACTATAAATATTTGACTATAAATATTTAAAGAAATTTAAAGTCGTTATATAAAAAAAAAATTAAAATCAGACATCATAGAATATGATGCGTGTTATAATGTTACGTGTGTCAAGATTTTAAAATAAGCCTTAAATTAGTAACAGAAGCAAAAGACGAAATATATAAAATGATCGCATCAAATGTTTATTATTACTTACTAAATAAAGCTGTTGAAATTAAATTTAAGTTATATTTATTTATTCTAAATATCGAGATATAATTGAAATATTGAAATATATTGAAATTTCTTTGTGCATGTACGCGCATGTGTGCGTATCAAAATTATATATTTGTTACTCTATAAGTTTCCAAATAGATAATTGCAATTAGCTTTATCGTTTGTGTGTTTAAAGAGCACACAAAACGTAACTTATTTTTATCAACAATCTCAATACTCAATATATAATCACCTGTGAGGATGCCGACAATCTTTGAAACATTACAAATGCATTTCTCGAACACAAAGCTGTCCGTTGCGAATGCTCTACGACAACAAGCTAAACAAAACGGAAAAGCGATATTGTCTTTCCATATCTCAAATTAATTTGCCTTGAATTATTTACGTGTCATTAATTATTAGATTGTACGTGAATGCGAACGAGATGTTTCGTGAATCATCCTGCAAGATTATCCTATGAATAATAACTCTAGCATTCTTGAATCGAGAATCGGAAAAAAGTAATAATACACGCGAGTGTACGTACCGATGATACAGATACAGAAGATACAGAAAGAATAATTTATATATATTTGTAGTTTCCGATCTGGAAATGGCTTGCAAATTATATCTTCGGTCGGTGTGCAATACATTTTATCAAAATTAAGATGCCAACTCTTTATTATAACTCAATTAATTTTAGATTTTTGCCAATTCTATTCTATTTCTTCGATGGCGATGACTTGGCCAAATTCGAATTGACGAGTGACCGCACGAAATCTTATGTCTTCGCAGAATCATTATTATTACAATCACGGGCAAACTTACGAAACATCCCGTAATCGATTCGCGCATATTTTCTCTCTGCATGCGGAATAGTAACACGTACATGATATAGCATCTACATTCATCGCTTAAATAACTAGTACGTCGGCCATGTGTAATTTTCTATCAATAGACTTATGTAAAGCGTTTCCTTTTTAGCTTTCTCTCTCTCTCTCT